TCCATGCACACATGCTCATCCACAGCGCACACATCAAGAAAAAAGAAGGGTCAGGTTTTCTGAGTGCCAAGAACGCTGCAGTTATTGCCATAAACACTTATAACAGAGATTTGTCTGATCTGTTGAAGAGTTACAAGGCCTACAAGGTTAACAGTTTACAAGTCAGTTCATATTTTGAAATGTGCACTCCAGAACATGTATTTGTCGAATGTGGGTATTTCTGTAGTATTACTGATAGAGACAGTGGTCATAAGCAAAACTTCCCTGGTAGCTATTATTGCTACCTAACATCAGAAGACTATGTCAACTACAGGTACCTAAAAGACAGACACATTGAAGGACTGAAAAACTACTTCTCTGATCTTGAAAAGAATGCTGGAATTTTGATTGATCAGCAAGGAACCTTTAAAGTTCCAGCTTAATGAGGTACAGGAGAAACACGAGGTTATTTTTCATGTTTATTATATTTTTATATATTTTATTATATGTCATTATCTGCTGTCTTGTCTTTCTTCTGTAGTTTTTGTCTTCTTGCATGTTTTTTTTTATTCATTTGTGAATAGTTTTGCTGCACTACAAGCACATATACATGAAGATTGATTCTGCATTCTGTCTGAAGGTGAAGTACAAGCTCCTTTGTTATGTCAAATGTGTGTCAAATTGACAGTAGAGTGTATAGCATCACTGTACTGAACAGAAATAAACACTGAATATAAATAACCTTTTCCCTGTTCCTCTGCTCTCTGTGTGAAAGGGTATTTTACAAAAAAACTGTTATTTACAAAAACAAACTATTATAATTGTAACTGTAGAATGTATATGTTTAACTGCTATAGACTGTTCTGTTTGCGTAACTGGTTGTCTACCTCAGCTCTTTTAAGATACCTCAACTTAGTCCAAAGTTCTCCTAATTCAAAAATGTTTAAGCTGTTAGGTTAACATTATGAGCCTGTTAAAAAAAGGACTAAAGACTAAAGGTGGAGGCTGAGTGCTACTTTTTCTCAGGCTACTGATAGCGCTAGGATTCAAACTTATGAGCTCCAACTGAGATGTTGATGTTGATTGAGCAGTTAGATAGTTGAGCCAATTTGTAGTCACAAAGTTATTTGAAATTTTGTGCTCTATAAAGAATGAAAAATGTCCCTCGTGCTCAGACAGAGCACTGTCTGTGCTAAGACAAAAAGAACAGTTACCTGTGTTTGAATAAATTTACTTAGAGAGCAAGATGTAAAAACTGTGCTATTAAACATTTTCATATGTTTTACTTTACCTATTTTTTACTTGTGAAATGTCCAATGTCTGCTATCACAAGATCATGAGTTTTGGCATTGCTAAATAAGAACAGATTTGGGTAGGACGTAAAAAAAAAAGAGAAAAAAAGAGAACTATTCTAGTTACAAGGAAAAAGAGAGTAATCAGATCACCAGTACATTATAAAAATAGGGTGATGACTTGCAGCATTACATTTCAAATGCAAAAAACGTGTTGCCTTTCGTTGGAATCTGCCGTTTTTGAATTATTTGATTTGAAGAGTTTTGCATGTTGGGAAGAAGTAGAGGTCAGGACTGTCACCAGCAGAAAAGTCTAAAGAAGGAAACCCCTCAAAAGCAGCAGTTCATGATCTTCTATTTAGTCAATCTGTAGAAATTTTAATAAGTATTTTATGTTTCTTGGCTGAACTAAGATCTGTAGCATTTTGTTACCCTTGTTTTCAAGTTTGACAGTTTCCACAACAGCAAGCTAATATGGAAGTAAACACCTTTATTCTCTTTTGGTCTTGCATAAAATTCAGCTGGCTGTAAAACACACACACTCATATATATACTCATATATATATATATATATATATATATATATATATATATATATATATATATACATATATATATATATATATATATATAAAAACATGCTGAAGTGAGCGAACATTTACTAAGAAGAATATTGTGGAAAAGGAGAATAACAAAATGTGAAAAGAATCTCATGGGTAATTTGGTTTCATTTTCACATGTATATTTTCTTTCATCACATCAATAATATATTTGAAGTATTTAGAAAATATCAGAAGTATTTTTTTATTTAATGTATTTTGTGGAAATACATCTAAAATTTTCTTTTCTGTATTTTTTAACAGAATATATTTAAAGTAACACATTTTAAATTATTCTTTATTAATGCTATAAGGAAATGTACTTGAATAAAGATATTTCTTAAAATGTTGAAGCTTACTTAAACAAAAGTATATACTTACATTTAACTGTCACTTAAAATCCTTGCAATCAATGCAAAGTGGGGAGTTTTCAGAGATGGTCGTACTTATATAATAACCAAACCTCTGTTTTCTTCACTATTCTCAGTTTTAATGACACATTTTTTTTCTTGTTGCTTTACAATTTAAAATGGAGAGTATGGGTGGTTCACAAACAGTCTTGTCCTGCAGTTACATCCAAACCATGAGAAAATCCAGAAGGTTTCATGCTTTCCAATATCTGATTTTAACTGGGAACGATTACAATACACAAACTTCAAAATTGATGTGGGCATTGATGAACCCCTGCTGAGGTATTCTGGAACAGACTCAGCTGTTAAACTACAGGAATACTTAAATGAACTGCGGACAGAAGTGGGCAGTAAACTCCCAGACTACATGGAGAAAGTTGGTGGTGTTCTGGTAGGTTTCACTGCTGTATCCCATGCAGTAGGCATAGGTGCCCTAGCCATCTCTATGATTCTACATTTTGTTTTTTGGCAAACAAACAGTCCCCAAGTAAGGAGCCTAACCCTGAGGATCTGCTAAAGCATGTCTTTGCTGAGGAGAAGTCCTCAGAGGTGTGTGATCTGATGGAGCATTACCTGAACCGCTACAGGATGTACGTGATGCAAGAAAACCGTCTGCTGCAGGAGACCAAGCGTGTGGAAGACAGTTCGCCAGTCAGCTCACATGGCCAAAGAACTCCATGCTCAAGGGATGGACACATTAACGATCGTGCTTTCAAGCACTGGACCAACGGAGCTGCGTTCCATGCGCAGATGCTCATCTACATTGCACGGCTGAAAAAAGAAGAAGGAGCTTCTGAGTTTGAGAACGCCAAGATCAGCGCACGCAGTGCAATAGACACTTACAATAAACACCTGTTTAATCTGATTGAGAAATATAAGACACATAAGGCATCGGAGATTGCCAACACTGGAAAAGTAATATTTGCAAAGTGGCTTTATTTATGCATCAAACAAATGTTGTACAACAAAGTGCAACTTATCTGCTAATCCAGATGAATCACCTAAGCAGTTTCTTAGCGACATCTTCTCAGTTCACAGACAGATTGTAGAACTACAAAAATACTTTTCTGACCTTCAAGAGAATTATGCTGTTTTGACAGATCAACTTGGAACCTTCAAAGTTCCCAGAAACTGAATAGTCCATCATTGTTTACTTATTGATTAGGCTTCATAACCTAAAATTAAAATGAGTTAAAATTACTTATTCATACACATTACACCTGCCTCACACTGTACTGAGTTCCATGCCTGTTCATACTTAGATATCTTTTACACATCCTCATGACAATCATGATTTTTAGATAACGTCTAACAGGCACTGGTAACCTGAAGACTTCTTCTCTGTAATTAGGCTCAATTTGTTTCTTTATTCCTCATTACTCATTATATATTAAGCTGTCAATCATCTCCTTAATCAAAAGTTTTGTTGTGTTACTATTTTTGGAGGATGGGTTCCCGTGTTGAGTCTAATTTTTCCTCTCAAAGTTTCTTGCTCTTGCTCTCTTTGCCTTGCAATTTTTGTTCCAGATCTCTTTTTCTGCTAAGAAATCAAAAACTGTTGTACAGTAGGTACAATGATGGTACCATTCATTCAATTCATATATTATTAAATTCTTTATTTCACTGTATTGATCCTGATGTATTGCTTATAGCTGGATTTATGCTATACTACGAAATGACCTGGAAGATTTTATAATTAAAATTGCCTGGTGTTTTCTTGATGTGTGAGTGTGTCTTTACACTTAAATAAAAAATGAAATATAATTAAAATATAATTATAATTATTAAAATTATAATTCATGTAAACAATGGTCATGTAAACAATAGGCTAGACGATTGAACACTGAATTGATGAAAAATATTGAGTTACATTTAGATGCATTAGGTATAGTACTTTGCTTTTCATTGTTTCATTGCAGTTTTTTTTTACCATGACATATATTTTTGAAATGATGAAATGAAATGAAATATCTTATTTAGGTTGTCCGTACAAACCATGTTTTTAAAGTGAATTAATAAACTTAATTACAAAAAATCCAGTACTTTAAATGTATAAAAGAAAAAAGTCACAGAAATAGTAAATGCTTAGTTTACATGCTCTGCTTCACTTTTCAGCCTCTCATGCTTATAAAAATACAAATAAGCACTTGCTTATTATGTGCTGGGTCCACAGTGGATAATCCACTGTGAACAATATAACCTCAGAAGCAAATCTTTTTTATAGACAGTCAACACCTGGGTAGGACTTCAGCACAGATGTTAATCAGCTGTTATTGGCCCATTTACACTCATTCAATCAGCAGTTTGTCTCTATGACCATTATAATTATTTGGGGTTTGATTGTCATCTAGTATAGTATTTGTGAATTAATATATTGACATGCAGTTTAGTTTTATGTTGGATTTTGGAGAACAGTGAAACACTTTTGTGACCAGCATGAAAACACGTTTTCACTTCTAGCTGCATCTGAGAGCCAGCCTGCCAGACCTGCTGAAGTTGGAGGTAAATGATGCTCAGCTGCTAGGGAAGAAGGGGTTGTCAGTGGTGGACCCCAAGTTCTATACAGCTTCACATACAATGATTATGATATGTATCTCATATGTGTATCTCATATGTGATATGTACTTCATCAGAAATCATTTACATAGATTAGTCTTAAATGCACAGTAACAATAACAGCTTGTTTAATTCTAAGAAAAATTGGAAATCATCACGTAAAACTGAATTATCACTTTTTTGTCATAAGTGGACCTCAAGGCTCTGGCTATTGATGGATGGTGTGACGTGGCCACAGAATACTTGGAATACAGGAAGTGCAAGAGGATGAACGCTGCTTGGTCTGGAAGCCTTCTAAAGCAGCCAGATCCAGGGCATAAGACCTACTTCCCTGCAGTCCTCACATACAGGTAAGACTTTTTCCCCTCATTTTTCCCAAAGCTGTTATGTTGACTCTCAGGCAGTTTTGTTAAGTGGTAACTGGCATTACAATAATGTATTCCACTCCACTGTAGGCTGTCCTGCAGTTATAGTGTGGTGCGGCTCATGCATGAGCACATGCTGGGCAACAGCACCACACAGCTGCATCAACAGCTGCAAGAGCAGCACTCAGAGGTATGGATGCTGAAGTGGATGACTGACTGTAAGCCCTATGTACTGCATTAACTGGCTACTAGCAGTGCTCTGTAGGCAACCCTGCCAGTCTGCAGTGACAGCAGAGGAGTGGTAAAGTTCAGCAACCTCACTGCTGTTTTTTTACTTAAATTTAGACAATCATATGCCTTCAAAGAGGGGGCATGCGACAATTGTTTATTGTAGCCCACCCCTAATTCTTCAGTGATATGAAGGTGAAGTCAGCTATATTCGCCAGCTTCTTGTTCGAATTTAAATGATGCAGCGTTTATGGAAAATTTAGCTAGCTAGCTACCAAGACATCAGCATACTACTAGCAGTTTCTTATGCTTGTTATGAAGAAAAGGATCATTGAAACAACATTAAACTAAGATAATACAATGTCTATTGTATTTTTTGATTGACAAAATATTAACATTTGTGGTTTTCTTTGGTCACTTGCGCGGCCATCTTGCCAAAATTTCTTTTTGTCTCATAACACTCTGTTTAGAGTGTACTTATGAAAAACCTCCGTTTAGAATGCCATGTAGCCCTAACACTTCGCCTTACCCATCTATCTCAATAAAAATCAGACCCCTTACGCCTAGGAGTGAACACACAAAACAGAGGGGTAAGGGCTAAGCGGTAGGAGCAAGGGGAGATTGTACACAGCTTTGTTTAAACCTTACTATTAATACCTTGTTGCAGCCTATTGGACATGTATTGAACTTCAGGAATGAACATACTTAAAATTATGGTTAACTTTGCTATATTTTTATTTTGTTTTTAAGGGTGATTTTGAGAACATGTGTGTATACAGTGTTATATATGCAATGTTGATAATGGGAAAATAGTGGTAAATCTGAAAATGTATGTTTTCTCTGGGCACTATGTTGCCTTACAACACCCCACATGTACCTCTCTTCAAAGGGTTTTAAAAGTATGTTTTAGTCCAAAATCTTATCTCAAAACTAAGTGGGAGCTGGATGGCCACAATTTTTATTGGTTGACACATATATTAAATTTTAAGAATGTCTGATGGCTTCAACCATTTTTAAACTGACCAGGAACAGCCTTGCTTAGCTTCACAGATCAGTCAAGCCTAAGGGTTCCCAGCCCCATAGAGCCACTGGTTGTGGCTGGCTTCCAGTAATGGCCTATTAAGTATCCCACCACACTATTAGGACTCAGTGGAGGCTGACTTTTTTTAAAATTCTTAATTTTGAACCAAAGTTGTTTTTATTTCAAAGTAAAGGTTAGGTTCAAACCCTGATTGCAACTTCTACTGTCAGTTAGTTTTCAGTACAAGCCCTGACCAAGCCCCAACATTGCTTAGTTTCTGAAATAAGACCAGACCAAGGATTCTCATAGATCTGTATACACTGGCTGAAGCTGGTAATTCTGTAGAAAATATAGCTGAGTACATGCAGACTGCCTGTTCTGTCTTAAGTCTTCTGGTCTCCCATGCAGCCACTGAGCAGGAGCAGCCTTGCTTAGCTTCAGAGTTCAGTCAAGCCGAAGGGTTCCCAGCCCCATAGAGCCACTGATTGTGGCTGTTTTCCAGTCTTGGCCATTTAAAGTATCCCAGCATACTATTAGGGCTGACTTTTTCAAAGATCTTAATTTTGAATCAAAGTTATTTTCATATCAGTGTAAAGGTTAGGTTCAAATAGGCCCACCATATAGATGTACAATTACACGCTATAGCTCACATGTTGTCATGCACAATCTGTCAGCTGTCTTTAACCCCTTTAATTATTGGTCAGTTTCTCTGACTGCTGTTGATCAGACAGTGGTAGATCAGTACAGTAAAGACACTGATATGATACTGGTATGGTGGCCCTAACAGTGTTGCTGGATTTTTACAAATCAAGACCACTGCTGAGTTGAGAATAGCCCACCATCCAAAAAATGTTCTTGTTCAAAATTATTATTAAAAAACTGACTCTCTGACTACATGATGGGTGATTGTAAGAGATGAATGTATTCTGATCAAGCATATTAGCATCATGTCTTTTCTTGGGTATTTAATTATCAGATTGTAACACATTCCTAGTGGAATGATGATTGAGAAGACAACACTCGAGTCATTTAAAGATGGACCCTTAAATTTTTTGTTAATTTGTTAAAATAATTGAGAAATGTGTGAAGTAGGCTTATAGTCTTCTGAAGAACTCTATTATTGGTTTTCTAGAGCCAGCACTGAAGGGTCCACTGACTCCTAAATCGCACTTCATCACCCAATGTACTTGTCAAGGAGAAAACTCTTCACTCATTTGTTTTAATAAAATACTGCAATAGTCCTATCTAGACATGCTGTGAAAAATCTTTATGATTGTGTCACATAAAATTAAACATACCTGAAAAACGGTATGGTAACAGCAAAGGAGAGCAACTGTTTCTGGGAAATCTTTATTTATACGCTGCACTTTAATTGATACACTGATATCATTAATATTTTATTGTACTGAAATACTATGAAAGTATATAGCTATTTTGCACATTAAAAAGAAAAAAAATAATTCAGCAAATAAACTGTAACTATATTAAAATGTGCAGAAATGTGTTTTCTGTGGAGAATGTGAACTTATTTTCAGTTAGAAAAGCAACAAAACATGCAAATTGACAAGGCGCACGCAAACTTTTGCATCAGAGTATGGTGCGAATTTTTCAGTAGCTATTTTTGAATTCAGAACCTACTATGAGTAAAACAGTAAATATAACAAATTATTCAGTGACAGCTATGAATTGTTCAGTAACTACTACAAATTATTTATTATCTACTGCAAGTCATTCAGTATCTACTATGAATTATTGGGTAACTACAGTGACTACAGGTAACTATTAAAAATGATTAAGTGACTGCAAGAATTATTTTGTTACTACTCTATTTTGTGATTAATAATTCAGTAACTGCTAAGAATTATTCAGTATCTATTATGACTCGTTCAGTAAATACTATGAATGATACAGTACCGTATATAAATTATTCAGTAACTAGTGCTAAATATGTCACAATATTAAGCTCAAAATATGACAATAAAGACCCAGTACAGTTGTACAGATGAAGACTTGTACAGCAGGAGATTGTCAAAAAATTATACTTTCAACACTGGAAAAAAGGACATTGTAAGGCAATATAGCTCGCAGAGATTTTTTTTCAGATTTAGCATTTACAGATACATGTAGGTTCATTGGAGGATTGTATATATTGTGACCCCTGGTTCCTGTCACTACTGAGTTGTTAAGTTTCTCTACAATGAACCATTTCACCCCTTGAATTTCAAAATTGAATGACTTTATTTAAATCTCATAAACAGAATTATGCATTATTTTGATGTGTGTGTGTGTGTGTGTGTGTTGTGTGTGTTTGTGTGTTGTGTGTGAGGCAAGCTTGATTTCGACCCTGATTATAAGTAGATCATGTCACTGTTTGCCTTTGTATTTGCATTTTGAAGCCACACTAACGTAAACAGAGAAGTCTGCATCAGTTTTTCATTATTCCTTGTAATGACTTTATTATTTATATCTGCCATATTTGACTATTCATTGGTGGTGTTGTAGGTGAAGTAGGTGAAAAGAGCTATATCTCAGAGTTCAATGTGTACAAACACGGCCCCCTTAACAGAGCCAAAATATTTTTAAAAAGTTGTATCTGTGATGGATCCTCCTGTATCTGCCAATGTGTTGTAGGAAGAAAGGTTTATTACCCAGATAGCAAACACCTCTTCCAGCTACTCCCCTCTGGTAGAAGATTCAAGATCATCAAAGCCAGCTGTAGGGTGAATCAACTACAGTGGACTCCTTGTACTTTAGACTTAAAGTAAAAGCGACAAACCTCCCTTACTGTATTACACTACAGCTCCTCTAACACAATGCTGATGTGCACAACTGCATACATTTTCACAAATTATTGATGGCCAAAGAAAAACAAGCATTTCTAAAATGGTAACTTTACAGAAGAGGGCAAAAACGATCTTTACTTTTAATGTAAGTTAAAGTAAAGAGATTTCACACAATTTAAAGTGAGCTAAAATTATGTAGAAAATTAAAAATCACAATTTATTTTGAACAGCGACAAAACATCATATTATTCTGTAATTTTTGTGTCTCCTCAGAGCTGCATATGTAAAGATATTGACACATCTCTATAGCTCCTTTCACATCTTTATTTAAATTTATTATATCACAAGACGAGAAGAAAATACTATATAAAGAACTGTTCAATAGAGGCAAGGAAAAAAACAGATAAAACACAGATGAGGGGCATGGCAATAAATGGGGAGGAGCAGGACATCCAAAACCAAAGCACATGGCCAGAGACATCAGGGAAGGAAAACAAGAAGGGAAAAGACAAAGACGAGCAATGCAAGACACGATGTTACACACAGAAACACATCATCTAAGCCACTTATCCTTCCGGGTCATGGGGTGGGGGTGCTGGAGCCTATACCAGCTGTCATTGGGCAGAAGGCAGGATACACCCTGGACAGGTTGCAGGGCAGACAGGCAGATACATCCATACACACAATCACTCACACCTAGGTGTAATTTAGCATGTCCAGTTGGCCTGACTGCATGTCTTTGGACCATGGAAGGAAACCTACACAAACATGGGGAGAACATGCAAACTCTACACAGAAAGGACCCTGGTTGCCTGGACGGGAATCAAACCAAGGCCCTTCTTGCTGTGAGGCGACAGCACCAACGTGCCGCTCCACGCAGAAACAACTGCCCATTAATCTTTAGTTAAATATTTTGCTCTGTTTTGGTGATGAGGCCATCTTTGTATACATACACTTTTGAACGTAAATGTGATGCATTTTCAGGAGGCCATCTGGTTCAGACAGGTGTTCTGTCATAAATTGTATGGAATTATAAGTTTATTTATGTTTCATGTCTCCCCAACCTTCCATCGTGGTTCCTCAACCTTTTATCGTGGTTTCCCAACGTAGCCACACAGCATCTCAGTGGCATTGAAATGGGGCCTGAATTTCAGATAATGTGAAATGGTAGATTCATTTAATATTACCTGACAGAGAAAACAACAGATTACAGCAGTAGCTAGCTAAAGTGATCAGGTGAGTAGAGGAGGATAAAGACTGACCTGTTGCTCACTTACAATGAATTATTTATTCTAAGTACATGTTCTGTTTCCTTCTCAGCTCCACACTTCTCTCCTCGTGTCATTTATTTTGGAAAGTTGTGAACACAAACCGCAATGCTGTACGCTTGTTGACTGACTAAGCCAGCTCGCCAGATAGTTCTACTGCATGTCTCTGATTGAACACTATTCTCTGATCTAACTACTGTGCGTATACCATGTATGTACATTAAAAAGACCAATAGCATGGCAGATTGGGTTAGAGGGGGGAGGGGAGGGGGTTTGTTGATGTCTTAATGGATGAATCTTTAGTGTAACTGGCCTGAACAGTCAAACTGACAGGTCAGGCTACTGGCCGGAAAGTCTCTCAATTCTGCGGATGGGCAGGCCCAGCCTGGAGGGGCCCAATAAAAAATTTTGGAGATGAGTCGACATGGGCCTCTTTGCACCATGGGCCCCAGTGTCACTCTCCCTCTACCCTGATAGGTACATCAATGTTATGACATATGTGCATGTGAGCAACTGTAATTCACTGCCCGTGTATAAAGCACATACAATCATATGCAAAGTTTGGGTGGACATGATTTTCTAAGTGAAAATAAGTTAATACGCTTCCGCACATTGGAATGCAAAATGTTTATTTGCTGGAATTAATATTTTGAGATACAAACACATAGTAAGTGTCAACCAATACGAAATATGTGAAATATGGTTTTGTCACAGTTTTGGAGGTACACGACCATAAAAGATTGGAATACAGGAAATCTAGTCTAATGCAGATTCCCTGTAAACTCTGCAGTACATGGGGAGACAGCACATGGACTCCACCGTTCTCCACTGGCTCACTCCATTTCAGCGTTTCAAGCATAACTCAAAAACGCTAACCAGTAGCAGCTGTACACACATAAAATCATATTATTTTTCATTAGAACACACAAATTGCTGAAAATCTGTTTCGGTAGTGACAATTCTTAATGTTACACACTGATTTTTAGACTTTGGGACACATTTACTTCAAAACAATGGGATATAACTGTTCATCATGTGGCCATGAGGGACAGAGATGCAGTCTCACTTCCTGCTCTAAAACTACAGGGGTGTGGCTAATAGAAGGCTCTGCCTATGGACTATGTTTTTTTTTATATATGATATGACGTATGATAAAGCCAAATCTTTCAACCACATTTTAAAAGAAGTCAAAATGATCTTTAAAAAAAATTAAATACAAAAAAAATATTGTGACAGGTTTTGGGACGGCCACCTTTGATGTACTGTTTTCCTGTGATTGACCATTTCCCATTTATTGTATTATGTATTTGCCTCTAAAATTGTGGTCTTCTGGTGTTTTGACCCCTGAATGCACTGATGAGTCTCTTTGATTTGCCCTTATGAAGCCACTCTGCACATACAGCCTGCCTCAACTTATTTGTTATGCTGCCCACTAACTCAACCATGCTCCTAATTGTTTCTCACTTTCTGTTTTTTTAAGATTTACTACTCTAGACATTATTCTAATCAGACTGCAGGTGGTGAAGTAGGAAAATAGCCACATTTTAAATCATTCTTTATTAATGCTGTAAGGAAATTAAAATACTGAAGTATACTTACATACAAAAGTATATACTTACATTTAACTGTCAATTAAAATCCTTTTTTTTCACACCTTTTGGATCTGACTGAAAATAGAGCTTTAGGGATGAGATGTAACATTTCACTTTATCTCTTGTTGAGAGTTATCTCTGTGATGACCCCTCACCTCCCAACCATCTGGTTATGTTTGCATGAAAAGGAACAAATGATGCAAATGAGGAACAATGTTTTTATGTTTTGAATAATTCCTGGTGCTGGTACTGTTTTAAGCCTTGTAAAATAAACCAGCCATCGTTTGTCTTACTGTGTTGAGACAGAGGAGAAGTGCTAGATGATCAGTAGAAAATGGGGCAGGCTGTGTTTTTAATGCTGCTAGTTTCAGGTTAGTGTATTATATGCCTATATGCATGTGTTTGCATGTGTTTATGTGTGCTTTTTGAGTGCAGGTGTTTAATGTGCTATATCTCTTTTAAATCTCTTACTGTAGATCTGCTGGTCATCTCTGCTCCTCTCTCTTGTCAGTACCACTATGTGAATGAGAGTAAGACCTGGTTTGAAGCTCAGAGCTACTGCAGAGAGAGAGATACACTGACCTGGCTACTGTGGACAGCATGGAGGAGATGAAGAAGCTGATAGTAAAAGTAGATCCTAAGTACAGAAGCGCTGTGTGGATTGGACTTACAAGAGGAAACCAGACCGCCTGGGGCTGGTCTATGGGAAATAACACCTTCTCCAAGCAGCCTTTTTATTTTATTATTCTGTTTTAAAACATTAAGTTATGAAAATGTTACAAGTTACGTAAAATTGACCTGCACAGCGATATTTTTTTCTGGCAGTGTAGAAGTATTACATCTGGGGATGGATCAGTTATCAGTTTAAATAAGCTCAGTCCAGTTTGGCTCATTTGTTTCGTTATTGTACTTAATTCACTTCACTGTCATAAAGGCTCCATAATCGTTAAACATCACTTTAGAACCTGCGGCAGTAAGGCATGTTACAGAAAAGCGGTCAAAATGTTCACTGTCTGTAACAACTTTAAGGTAGAAATGTTTGTGCTGGGTTTGACCTACCCAGGACGATAAGCAGCTAAGATGATGAGTGAGTGTGTGAGTGTTATCAAATTGACTACACTAAAAAAAATAAAAAAATATAAAAATAGTACATTCTTATAATAATACATAATATAATAATTAGAATAGTATGTTTTATTTAATAAGCCAATCAATAGGAATGAAATAAACATTATTTCTTGCAATATTTTTGTGTAGTGTTATGCAGGTGGAAATCATAGTATTTTTGTCATGTTGAGGTCTTAAAAATGCATCGCATTTGATTTTAAAAGCTGTGCAGCAACGCTGTTAAAAATAAAGGTGTCCAAAATAGCTATTGGGAGCGATAACATAGAAGAAGCACTTTTGGTTCCCTAAAGAATCTTTCAACAAATTGTTAATGAAATGTTAATTTGTAAATGAAATGTTTGAGTGTGAAGAATCTCTTAAAGTTTAAATAGCCTCCACATAGGGCTTTGGTCAAGACCACTTTTGTCCAAGACCATGAATAGTCGAAACATTTCTGGCCTAAAGCTGCTGAAGCTCTGCTCTGGTTCACTCCGGTCCAGTTTATCCCTTGCACTGCTTCAGTGCAAGTGAGTGCTTGCTGGTGACAGTTAGGCTTCAGCATTCAAATAAATGCTGAATGAAGCTGAATGATCTATTGGCTTTTAGTTTATGTAAGCCCCCTGTTTTTTTACAGAATCATCCATTCTGTCTCAACGGTACATTCAAGTACAGAAACAGCTCACCTGGAGAGCAGCTCAGCGATACTGAAGAGAGATATACACTGACCTGTCCAGTATCCACAATGCAGAAGAAAACAACCAGCTGAATTACACGTTAAGTGACACGTGGGTCGGCCTGTTCAATGATTCCTGGGAGTGGTCAAACCAGAATACCTCTTCATTTCGCTACTGGGCAGACTCTGAACCGGATCAGACTAACAAGTGCGTCTCAGTGGCTATGAATGACTCTGGGAGATGGTACGATGAAGACTGCGGCCTGAAGCGCAATTTTGTCTGCTAGTACTGTGAGTGTCTACCTGCTGAATGTGAAACATCAGGTTGGTTAAGGCTTTTTGATTATTGAATTTCGAGTATGCTCAATATTTTTGTATTGTAGACAGAAACGGTGTTATTAGACCTGCATGAACTCTTAGCAATAAAGGTGCAAAAACAGCTCTTTAACGTTTTTTTTTGAGTAAAACCATAGAATGACCACTTTTGCTTGCTAATGGATTTTTTTTAAATAAAGGATTTGTGTGAGAAAGAACTTCTAGATAATGTAAATATTCTATGCCAGTTAAAGTTTTTTTTTTTTCTTTTCAGAACCATACATTCAAGCTAAAAACCCTTTGGGCATATTTATTTTTAAAGGGTCATTCTGGCCAAAATTAAATATTTAGCCATTGCTTCATCTGTTGTAAACATGCCTACTGTTACATGGCACTACCTCTCATGGGAAGACAGCACCGGTAAGGTAGTACTGTATCAGAGGCCCCATGAACAGATAAAGATAAAGAACAGATAAAGAAGACTAGGCCAGAGTACCCACAATATGTCTGGTAGACATATACTTTTGTGAGGTTATTCTAAACTCCAAATGTCCATCAGTTCTATCTGCTAAAACATCAACTGGTTCATAACTGGTTCAGGATTTTGATGATTGCAGTTAGTTGTGTAATTTGTTGACGGTCCCTTACCTTACAGCAGTTTTGGCAGCCCACAGGAACCAATGTGCCCTACCAGTTTGAAGGCATCAGTGACTCATGAAAACTAACTGGAAACTGATCATTTTTGTTAGCAGTAATGATCATTTAAACATATTAACATTTTTGCACCCATTGTTCAAAAATATTAAAGGAAGAATTTACATCTATATAAAACCAATTTCAACGCTCTTACAGCTCTTCTTCTTCTCTTTTCATATTTTGTTATTCTTCTGTTCCACATTATTCTTCAAACAAGAATAAAAGAATTTACTCCCAGATCAGATCAGTTTGCCGCTATGGAATCATGTGTACGGAAAACCAGGATAAATTCAAATATATTCTGGCGAAATGTTGCAGATCTTCTATCAATAAAAGTAAAATACTTTTCTATGGATTGGCCAAGTATAACACCCTGACCTGAGATCTTGTCCTTCCGAAATCTTTGCTGGTGGCAGCTCCCATCATCGTGTAGCTTTAAACCATCTGTTTAAAGCTACACAACATGTGACACATTTATCTTTCAGAACAGCAAATTTTGGCAAAAGTGATGAGTTTGCATGTTATCGTTCTAGAAACACTCATTTTCATATTGTACCTGTAATCCGATTACTGTCTTTTTCTATAACTGTAACAGAATGCAGTTACCTTTTTTGCCATCCTGATTATGTAACACTGTTACATGTTTTCCGTTATTACTCAGGTGCAGTGTCCCACGATCAAGTTTTCCAAAGGAGAAGCTATAAAGCTTAGATCTCTCACCAGGGTGTAATTGATATTAAGATTATATGTTCGTTTGACAACTTGCATGTATAATTATTCGCTTCATAAGTGTGGAATTCCTGTTGTCAGTTACTGTTTATTTTGAGTTGATGTGTAAACAAAGATACGTTCCTTCTGTGTGTAAACATGCTTGGCCAATAAAGCCTAAATCTGATCCTCAATTAATGTTCTGTTTTAATCCATTTAAAACTGAAAGTGTTTGCGTGTAATTGAACATGTTCTTTCTTCTCAGATGCTAAAATACAGACAGTGAGAGTGAAGGTGAGCTCTATTGGAAAGAAGGACCTCAGTGACCCTGAAGTAAAGGCAACTATCTTGAAGCAGGTCAGTCTGACTTCTGATGGCAGGATCCTTCAAGAACAGCATATCTGATCTCAAAACTGTACGTGAAAAAGAGAAAATGACCAGCGTCCAGTAATCGTACTGACTGATCATGTTATTCAAACGATCACTCACATGTCTAAAGACTAAACTTCAATAAAGAGAGAAGTGATAGCCTGTAGTACTCTTAAAAGTACACAAAGAGTAACTTGTCTATTGTTTATACACACTTACCTAGTAATTTATTAGGAACACCTCTTTGTCCATTTTATCAGCTCCACTAACATGTAGGTCCACTTTGTAGTTTTATGATTACAGGCTGTAGTCCATCTGTTTTTTTTGGATACTTTTTTAACTTTCAGTGATCAGGAGCCCCACAGGCTTGTGGGCTTATGTACAAGAAACCATAATTCATTTTACATGATTTTCCAACCTGTCTATTCCCCTTAGAATTAAACAGGCTGTTTTTTGTTACAGTGCCTTTAAGACTGATATAAATGAAAATGAGCTATGTTCTAATTGGCTGTCCTGTTTTGTACTTCTTTCAAAAAGCAGTCCTAGCTGAAACACGCCTTATATCTTCAGCCATGAATCAGCAGGGCTAGACTGCTGTAGGCTGAAAGGGGTTGATATGTGTAAATGTGTTCGTTTTTGGTGACTTCACAAAAGCAGTGAATTCTGAATGGCCTGTTTTGCAGCCTAGTTTGCATATGTGGACTGTATGGACTGAGGAGTGATGAAGCACACAATACTTAAGCAGGCATTTTATTTATTTATTTATTTATTCATTGATGTAGAACACATTATTTAAAGACTGTTTGCATTGTAGTTAATTATCGTTATTGTGTTTATTTCAGCATTCATTCAACTTTTTTCTTTAACAAAATTAATATATTATTAATTTATTTTCAGAATCAGTGGCATAAATGCAGCCATTTTACTATTAACTATTTTGATCAAGAACTTTCTATGAGGAAGCTTTTATTAAACTACTCAGTCTGGTTTCTGTCACTGCCCTGAGACCAATTCTGACTCCAGAACAGTGTGTATGTCTTAATAATTTGATGATGATGATGATGATGATGATGATGATGATGAATTACGCGCAAATTTGGAAAAATTGGGTGGAATCCCCCTTTAAAGGCGAGGAGAACAGCAGGTTCTGGCCAGCATGGTGGCGCTGAAAGAGAAAGATAAAACAGTTGCAGCATTTCCTTTTCTAATCTGACTACATTAAGGTTTACTGTAACCACAGAGAGAGATTAGTGCAGTTTTTAACAGTACAAGACAAGCTTTCAGCACTTATAATGAATATTACAGTTGATAAATCATCCAAGGTTGCAGCGTTGATTAATTATTATTTATGACTATCAAATAATATGAACCAAACTAAAAGGTATTTTTTAACTATTTTAGTCAGCAGTCCAAGTATTTTTGGGAAATATTTATTGTAAATATTATTAAACAAAAAATATACTACTATTATCATTTCTTTAAAGTAATTTCTACTCAAAGAATTGATATGTAACAGTAATTTGGCCTCAATATTTGGTGAAGTGAGGGATTAATTTTACGTCATTTTTATATCATTCTCGGTTGCTGATCTTGCTTTCATCTATAACTCTAAATCTAAAATTTTTCTGTATAAATTATTATGGAATAATATTTTAAATATTTTTTCACTGCTTTTGTTACAACTACAGTTTATTAAAACCTGTAAAGTTGTATAATCTCAGAATCATTTTATAGATTTTTATAAATTTATCTGCACCAAATTTGTTTGTTAGTGAGCTAGTGAGCGAGTAAGTTAGTTAGTAGACTAGTTATTGAGTGAGTTTGAAAGTGAGCTAGTTAGTAAGAGAGTGAGTGAGAGGTGCTTCGCATCTAAAACACAAACAGAGAACAAGGTAACAATTAGTGCATCACATTCAGTTACCAGAAGTACAAGTCTTTCCTCCCCATCTCAGTAACTGTAAGCCTCTATAATGATAATAACAATAATAAACCTTGCTTAAAATACCTTAGCTTCACCTAGCTTACCTTAAATTCTGGTTAACCTAATTGAACTTAGCTTATCTTAACGTAATCTAACATAAGCTAACTTAACTAACTGTAGCTTAACTATAAAATAAGACATCAATGACATTAGGGAAGGAAACAGAGGTCTGAGGAAAATATAGGGAAAGATAGATAGAGGAGTGAGGAATATAAAGGAGTCTTATGTTGTTTTATGGTCTCCAGTCCATCCATGAGCTGCTCGATGTGGTACATGACAAAGTTTCACACAGCTGTGTGATCCAGGAGCTTCATACACACTCTCTGCCATAGAAAGGATGTCCTGCAGACAGAGGAAGAAATTGTGCTCAGCCGATCAAACAAAAGCCCTTCAAAAAATATTCACATAACTTCCCCTGTGAACAGCTGCTTTAAAGGAAAACTCCACTGAGTTTACAAAATTACTTAATCATTCAAAGGTTTACATGCAAACCACTTATTCAGAGTGGTTTGGTGTGAAATGTGCCTTTCTAGAGAAATTTACCTCGTCAGAATTGTTCAGCATTACAGTACTAGGAACCAGACGTCCAAGGCATTTAATGGCTCTAAAAGCTACATCTCATTAAGTAATTGCTAAAAGTACTAATATGAAATGGTTAGGAATGCGTTGCTTGATACCTGAGACATGGTTTGTGATCATTTTGTTATAAAGTTATGGCCTAAAATGTATTTTTAGTATAAAGTTTTACTCCAGGATTACTTAGATGTTTCCTGTCAAAACCGTATTCTCAACTGAGATCAATGCGTGCAAGCAAACATGCTTTTATAGTTACTAGCCTGTGGCTACAGCCATTCAACACGACTAATGACGGTGTTGTATCCGATTCAGTTCCCCCTCAAAGTCATGTTCCCTTTGACAAATCAGGTCCTTGGGCGTGCACATTCACTGAAGAGATAACAACACCAAGCAACACTGGAACTACAGAAAGCAAAAAGGTTCAAAAAACGTCTCTATGGCAGCTGTATTCACTCAATCGGTGACAAACAGTACAAAAAGTATTCATCAGTATGACTGATTACTGTTTACTCAAATTGAAAATAATATTTGTCACAGAATCCCAAATATGTTGTAATAACAACTTCCAGGGCGCTTCATAGTGTGCGACTCGAGTAGCTGAAAAGGGGGAGAGGAGGTGGAATACGCCGCAGACTTAGAAGTACGGGCCTCAGTCACCGCCGCAAGTTTCCTGCACTGCCAGCATTCCTTCTTTCCAATATGCAGTCTATCTGGAACAAGATGGATGAATTGGGAGCGTGGGTTAAATTCAGACATGAAGGGAAGGAAGCATGTCTCCTGGCCTTTACTGAAACCTGGCTTAGCGAATCGGACCGGGACGAAGAACTGTTAATAAATGGGTTTGGTAGCCCATTTCGACTGGACCGGTCCCCTGAGTTAACCAACAAGCACCATGGAGGAGGTGTGTGCTTCTACGTTAACCAGAGGTACTGTAACACTGCGGTGGTTCGGGAGAGGCTGTGTACGCCAGATATTGAACTGCTGACAAATTCACTCCGTCCTTATTATTTGCTTCGCGAATTTCAACAAGTATATTTCACATTAGTGTATATACACCCGCGAGCAAATGCATCAGTAGCTGCCCAGCTGATTGCCGATGTAATGCATAGGTTGGACTCAATTTGTCCGGATGCTCCCGTTTATTCTTGGTGATTTTAACTATTGTAAACAGGACGTATGAATGTTTTTTCTTCTCGATTTGATAGTTGTCTGTGCCATGTAAAATGCCTTTGGCTACTCTCTGTGCTTGAGTGAAAGTTTTGGCATGGGGGTGGTTTTGACAGTTTATATTAATAATATTTTAATAGTCAAGCTTAACATCTTTAACTGTTTTGGTATCATGTTGGTAGTGCTAACGTTATCCATTTAGTTTACACTTAATCTGTATGAAGTGTAATGTTAGTTTAGCCAATAGCTAACATTAAGTGGAATTAGCAAGGAAATATTGGCAACTTAAATTGTGTAAAAGGACATTTTTTTTCAAAATAAGAAATGAATGGGACATCAACATTGTACTTTCATATCTGTAATAAATTGCACCACAATGGCTTCAGTGTATAGTTGATTTGTCTCACAAACTAATGAGCTAGCTATGCTACAGCCATAGCAGTTTGGCTTGAGTCAGCTAGCTAGGGCAGGTCAGAGACAAAACAGATAAAACAACATCTTTTTTACAAGATGTTATGTGTCTGAATGTCTGTTGACACCATAGCTGCAAGTTAATCTGCCATAAAGGGGAACTCCACAAATTCTACATGAATAAATGTTTGAGATGTAAACAAAGTCATTCATACTGGTATGATGTGAAATGCACTGTTCGAGAAAAACAAACAAACAAACAAAATACAAACACAGCCTTTTTATTTAATCATTTACTCTCCAAAACCACCAGTGATCCTACACGTGTCTTTGGAGTTTTATATGCAATGTTGACGATGGTTGTCATAAATCTGAAAAAATATATTTTCCTTGGGGACTGTTTTGCCCCATTACTCCCTGCATGTATAACATAATGCAATATGAGTTTTAGGCAATCACACAACTATCGTAAAACAATGTCTTAGGCATCAGGTAGCATATTCATAATCATATCATGTAATAACTTTCTGTGAGAGAGCTTTGAGAGACATTAAACTCTTCAGACGTCTGGTTCCTATCACCACTACTGTGAACAATTCTAACTCTACGTTTCTCAAACGGAGCAAATGCTAAGCATTAGGTCACTATTACCCACAGATTAATTAACTAATAATTCGTGGTAGTTAATAGTAGTTACTGAGGTTTTAATGCAGCACTACTCATTTGTCCCTGCTTAGTTCTTGATTAGTTACTTATTACCTATGAAACAGTTTTGTAAAGTGTTACTGAGAATTCTTCAGCAGGGACTCGTCAATACTCACATTAATGTAGTATGTGGTTCGTTGGTAATTTACTGAAATTTTTTTTTCCTGAATGATCAATTGACTTCTATGAGTGTTCAGTATTACAAACCACATCATGTCTTAGCTGTTAAAGGTGACAGTGATAAAGGGTGCAGAAGGGACCAAACAGACAGACAGTAAATATTATAGTTCTGTTAGACTGCTGAGTAAATAAATACAAAGTCCAAAAAACAGACAAAATGGACTTTGGGCATCTTAAATAAACCCACATGGTTACAGAAAAAGCACCAATGAAAAGTGGGGAGTTTTCAGGAATGGTCCTACTTATATACCAACCGAACCTCTGTTTTCTTCACTATTTCTCCATTTCAAGGACACATTTTTCTTCTTGTTGCTTTACAATTTGAAATAGAGAGTATGGGTAATTCAGAAACTGTCTATATAGATGCAAACGCTGAGGAGATCCTGAAGGGCCCATGCTTTCCAATGTCTGATTTTAACCGGGAACTATTTGAATATACACGCTTTAAAATTGATGTGGGCATTGATGAATCTCTGCTGAGGTATTCTGGAACAGACTCTACTGTTAAACTACAGGATTACTCAAATCAACTGCGGACAGAACTGGGCAGCAACCTCCCAGACTACGTGGAGAAAGTTGGTGATGCTCTGGCAGGTTTCACTCCTGTACCAAATGCAGTAGGCATAGGTGCACTTGCCATCTCTATGATTCTACATTTTTGTTTTTTTGCCAGCAAACAGTCACCAAGTAAGGAGCCTAACCCTGAGGATCTGCTACGGCGTGTCTTTGCTGAGGAGAAGTCCTCAGAGGTGCGTGATCTGATGGAGCATTACCTGAACCGCTACAGGATGTATGTGAAGCAAGAACAGCGTCTGCTGGAGGAGACCAAGCGTGTGGAAGAGCAGCTCGCCAGTCAGCTCACACGGCTGAAGAACTCCATGCTCGCGGATGGACACATGAGCGATCGTGCTCTCAAGCACTGGGCCAACGGAGCTGCATTCCGTGCGCAGATGCTCATCCACATCGCACGGCTGAAGAAAAAAGAAGGAGCTTCTGAATTTGAGAACGCCAAGATCAGCGCACGCAGTGCGATAGACACTTACAACAAACATCTGTTTGATCTGATTGAGAAATACAAGACATATAAGGCATCCGAGGTTGTCGACACTGGAAAAGTAATAATGGCAAAGTGGATTTATGTGTGTTGTTCATTAAACAAATGTTGCACAACAAAGTGCGATTTATCTGCTAATCCAGACGAAGGCGGTAAAATGTTTCTTAGCGACATCTTCTCAGTTAACAGACAGATTGTAGAGCTACAAAAATACTTTTCTGACCTTCAAAAGAATTTTGCTGTTTTGACAGGTCAACTTGGAACCTTCAAAGTTCCCAGAAACTGAATAGTCCATCATTGATCATTTAACGATTAGGCTTCAGCACATTAGGATGTGCTGAAGCCTACATGAACTAACTAACATATAACTAAAATTAAAATGAGTTAAAATTACTTATTCATACATATTACACCTGCCTCACACTGTACTGAGCTCTATACCTGTTCATACTTACATATCTTTTACACATCCTTATGACAATCATGATTTTTAGATAACGTCTAACAGGCATTGGTAACCTGAACACTTCTGCTCTGTAATTAGGCTCACTTTGTTTCTTTATTCCTCATTATTCATTGTTATATATTAAGCTATCAATCATCTCCTTAATCACTATTCCATAACTTTTATTGTTTTGTTGTGTTACTATTTTTGGAGGATGGGTTCCCGTGTTGAGTCTATTGTTTCCTCTCAAAGTTTCTTCCTCTTGCTCTCCTTGCCTTGCAATTTTTGTTCCAGATCTCCTTCTCTGCTAAGAAATCAAACACTGTTGTACAGTAGGTACAATGATGGCACCATTCATTTAATTCATATGTTATTAAATTCTTTATTCTCTGTATTGTTCCTGATGTATTACTAATAGCTGGATTTATGCTGTACTACAAAATGACCTGGAAGGTTTTATAATAACATTGCCTGGTGTTTTCTTGATTAAACAATAAAGTAATGACATTTCAATCATGTGTTCTGTGAAATTCTTTTTCGAGTGTGTCTTTACACTTAAATAAAAAATGAAATAGTTTTTTTTTACAATTGTTAAAAAGCATTTTTCAGTGCCAACTTTTTCAAAACTTTTCACACTCCTCTCTGCAGAAACATGTAGCTCTGCACAGCAGTTCATTTTATGCCTTAAATACAGCCATAAATCACTAAATCTACTGCAAAAACAACTCAAAATAATTTGTCCATCATAAAGTCAACACTAGTGCCCTTATAAAAGCAGTACTCTGTTAATCACAGCACAGTCACCTCAGAAACACTAACAGCTGTCGACATTAATGCACATTCACTATTTTATGTAAATCTATGGTAAGAAAAAAATGATTTCCTCTGTGGTTGTGTTTCAATTCATAATTAGAAGAATTAGTTTATTATTCTTTGGCTGGTCATGTAAACAACACTATAAAAGGAATAGGCTAAACGATTGAACACTGAATTGATGAAAAATATAGATTTTTTTTTGTCTAAGCTACATTTAGATGCATTAGGTATAATATTTTGCTTTTCATTGTTTCATTGCAGTTTTTTACTATGACATCTTTTTGAAATGATGAAATGAAATGAAATATCTTTTTTAAGTTGTCCGTACAAACCATCTTCTTAAAGTGAATATTGCAAAAAAAATCCAGTACTTTAAATGTATAAAGAAAAAAAATCTAAGTGACGGAAACAGTAAATGCTTAGTTTACATGCTCTGCTTTACCTGTCATCCTCTCATGCATCATAAAAATACAAAAAAGCACTTGTTTATTATGTGCTGGGTCCACAGTGGATGATCCACTGTAAACAAAACAACTCCAGAAATAAATCTTTTTTACAGACAGTCAGCACCTGGGTAGGACTTCAGCACAGATGTTAATCAGCTGTTATTGGCCCATTTACACTCATTCAATCAGCAGTTTGTCTCTATGACCATTATAATTATTTGGGGTTTGATCGTTGTCAAGTAAATGATGCTCAGCTGCTAGGGATGAAGGGGTTGTCAGTGGTGGACCCCAAGTTCTATACAGCTTCAGATACAATGAATCTGATATGTATCTCATATGTGGAACTCATGTGATATGTATTTCAAAGAAATCAGAAATCATTTACAGTAGATTAGTCTTAAATGTACGTAACAATACAGCTTGTTAATTCTAAGCAAGACTGGAAATTGTCATGTAAAATTGAATTATAACTGTTTTTTTGTCATAATTTTTGTCAAGGCTCTGGCTATCGACAGATGGTGCGAAATGGCCACAGAATACTTGGAATGCAGGAAGTGCAAGAGGATGAACACTGCTGGTCTGGAAGCCTTCTAAAGCAGCCAGATCCAGGGCATAAGACCTACTTCCCTGCAGTCCTCACATACAGGTAAGACTTTTTCCCCTCATTTTTCCCAAAGCTGTTATGTTGACTCTCAGGCAGTTTTGTTAAGTGGTAACTGGCATTACAATAATGTATTCCACTCCACTGTAGGCTGTCCTGCAGTTATAGTGTGGTGCGCTCATGCATGAGCACACGCTGGGCAACAGCACCACACAGCTGCATCAACAGCTGCAAGAGCAGCACTCAGAGGCATGGATGCAGAAGTGCCTGTGATATCTGACTGACTGTAAGCCCTATGTACTGCATTAACTGGCTACTAGCGGTGCTCTGTAGGCAACCCTGCCAGTCCGCAGTGATAGCAGAGGAGTAGTAAAGTTCTGCAACCTCACTGCTGTTTTTTTGACTTAAATTTAGACAATCATATGCCTTCAAAGAGGGGGCATGTGACAATTGTTTATTGTAACCCACCCCTAATCCTTCAGTGATATGAAGGTGAAGTCAGCTATATCCGCCAGCTTCTTGTTCGAATTAAACTGATGCAGCATTTATGGAAAATTTAGCTAGCTAGCTACCAAGATATCAGCATACTAGCACTTTTTTGTGCTTATTATAAAAAAAAGGATCATAATAACTTGAAACAACATTAAACTAAGATAATACAATGGCTATCGTAATTACTCCACAATACTCAATTTTGTGGGTTTCTTGGGTTGCTTGTGCAGCTATCTTGCCGGTGTTTCTTTTTTCTCATAACACACTGCTCGGAGCATGCCTCTGAAAAACCTCTGTTTGGGGGGCCATGTAGCCCTAACACTTCGCCCTACCCCTCTATCGGACACCCTACCCCTAGGCATGAACGCACGAAACAGAGGGGTACGGGCTAAGTGGCAGGGGCAAGCAGAGAAATGGGATTTGGCTGTCTGATACCACAGCAGAGGCAGCACTGTATTACAGCAGCAGTAGTGCCTCCCCCGGGTCATGCCCTGCAATCACAGTATATTGTGAATTCGTAGACGTGATGGCATGGTTAAGCAGTGAAGAAAGATTGAAAATAAACTGTAGATGATTTGAACTAGAAATGTACATTTATTTAGGAAGGGTGGTGGGGTGCTAAATGACCTTTGGAGGGGCTAAAGACTTGCTAGCAAAATCCATGCCATTGCAAAGCTGGCAATCTAAAGACACACAGATAAGTGCAGTGAGAAAAGGGCAGAAAAGTGCAGCACGTGCTGACCATTCTAAACCTGAAGGAGGTCTCACGTACATGTAATATGAGAAAAAGAGAGCTCATAAAGTCAACACCGGAAACAATTCATTAGGGTTAATTTAATGCAGAGGGTTTACCTGGACTAAAGGCCGGAGGCCCCAAGTAATTCAGGAACTCTTATTGACCGTTACTGAGCTCTCTTGAGGGATGATCAAGGAAATCTTCTCAGTAACGGACATGTTTACATGTTTGCAAATGATAAGCTTTGCTGGCTGTTGTATTGGACTCCTGCTCTGGTGATTGTGGAAGCAACAGTTGACTGAAGCAGGCCATGAAAGAGTTTTAAACTTCATTTAAATGATAAGCATTTTTTTTCTTTTGCATTTCAATACAAGTTACAGCTATTAAGAGAAAAATTAGATGAAACCTGCCAGTAACAGCAATGAACATCATTAATTAAATTTAAAAATTCAACGGCATTTTTCCATGTGCCTTATCAATATGTAATCTAAATATATTCTGAATATGTTGCTTTTTAATGCACTGTAATGAAATGTTACTGAATACATTTAGAACAGTGTATTCAGTATTCAGCCATCTCTTCTTTTTCAAAGTGTTTTTTCCAACCGTGCTCCTACCAGACGTAAGTTAGACTGTACAGCTACAACTGAGATGACATTTAACACATTTTTAGTCAGATTTGACTGGACATAACTTTGATGAATAATGGCCAGGGGGAAAGATTCAGCAGTTCATTTTATCTCTTGTTCAGAGGTCTGTAAGGACGCCTTCCCTTCATTCCATTTTTACAAGGTCAGTTTATGTTTGCATGAACAGCAACAAATGAGGAACAATATTTTGAATAATTCCTGGTGCTGGCACCATCAAAAGTCCTTTAAAATAAACTAGCCATCATTTGTCTTACTGTGTTGAGACAGAGGAGAAGTGCTGGATGGTCAGTAGAAAAATGGGGCAGGCTGTGTTTTTAATGCTGCTAGTTTCAGGTTAGTGTATTATATGCATATATACATAAGTTTCCATGTGTCTATGTGTGCTTGGATGTTTTTGCATATAAACCAAGTGTTTAATTTGTTAAATCTCTTATAAATCTCTCACTGTAGATCTTCTGGTCATCTCTGCTCCTCTCTCTTGTCAGTACCACTACATGAATGAGAGTAAGACCTGGTTTGAAGCTCAGAGCTACTGCAGAGAGAGATACACTGACCTGGCTACTGTGGACAGCATGGAGGAGATGAAGAAGCTGATAGTAAAGGTAGATCCTGGGTACAGAAGCACAGTGTGGATTGGACTGAAGAGGGGAAACCAGACTACCTGGGGCTGGTCTATGGGAAATAATACCTTCTCCAAGTACACTAACTGGGCCAGTGGGCAGCCAAATGGAGATGGGTGGTGTGGATTGATAAATAGTGGAAGCTGGTGGGATCGTTCCTGCGATCTCAATTACACATTTATATGCTATAATGGTGAGTCCAGAGGACGTATTCTTGCAGATCCTTAAAATGCCTTAAAAATAGATATGAATAATTTATGTCTGGAAATGTCTTGTTTTTTAACCAGAGATATTAGCTTTAGGGATGTCCAGGCATATTTTAATGTAAAGGGTCAGGTGTCAGTTAAAAGAAGCTAGATCCAGTTAGGATCATTTGTTTTGTTTGTATTACGTTGTGTTACAGCAGGAGCGCCAACCTGCCTCCTGAAGATCTAGCATCCTGCAGATTTCACCACCAACCCAAATCTAACATGCCTCATTCAGCTTATCAAGGACTTCCTAGGTGGATCAGGTGGGGTTGATTAGGGTTGGAGCTGAAGTCTCTAGGAAAGTAAATCTCCAGAAGCACGGTTGGTGACCACTCTGTTACAGCAATATGAAATCATAATGTATTCATGAAACTATAAAATGGTTATTTCACATAAGTAGTCCACAAAAAAAAACAAAAAAAAAAACAATAGATATATAATTTATAATTTCAGAGTGTACCACCATGCACATTATCAAAGATTGCACTGCATATTAAAGGAGCCAGTAGCCACATCTCAGGGAGGTCAATTAAACTAGATGATATTAAACTAGATGATATTAAAGCAATCTACAAATAACCCAACAATACAAACATATCAGTTCATGTCACATTATGCACATACTTAAAATTAAGCAATTTGACTGTAGTATTAATTAGCAGCCTGGCATATCTTCCTTTGATTGTGCACTAGTTTTATCTATAAAATAACAGACGGATTCAGCTCTGTATCTGCTCATAGCATATTTGAAAGAACTCAAATCTGACTGAAGGTCGGGGGCAGAGGCCGAATCGAGACTTCCCTATTTAAATCTTAAAATGGTTCCTAAAGAACAGATCAGTATATTGAACTAAGTCAGGAGTCAACCAACCAAAACTATCCAGCTGTCAGCAGTCCTGTGGTCAGAAAGTGATGAAGGGTTAGAGGATGATAAACACACAGAGAAGACTGTGGGATCATGCCATCTCAAAGCATATATCCATGCTTTTTCAAACAATTGGTTTGAATTAAATAGACATTAATATATGCCATATTTGTATTTTTTCTATGTTGAGGTCTTAAAAATATATTAAAAAGCATTGAATTTGCACTTAAAAGTTGTGAAGCAACCCTATTAAAAATAAAGGTGTCCGAAATTGTTCTTTTTTTGGATTTCAATGCAGTTATTAAAAGATCCATTTTTGTAAACAAGATATTTGAGTGAAAAGCACTGCTTTACAGTTCATAGAACCTTCACGTAACATATAGATGCTAAAGTAATTAAAAGTACATATGTACAAGTTTTTTTTTATAAACCTTTATTTGTATGATAGCACATAATGAGTTGAGTCAATTTGTCATTTGATCAGAGAGAACACTAAACTGAGCAGAGCTCTTGGTTCTCAGGACTGGTGTTGGACTTTGAAGGCTCTATAGGAAGTCTATAGCAGGTTTTTTTTACCTTAAACCATGAAATCAAGCCAAGAACCCTTCAGGAAACTTGATTTTAGGAGTGTTGTTGCTGAGATATATAGAAAGATGGTACATGTTGCCATTCTTTTTCCAGAAATATAGTGTAATATAATAGCACTGACTGTCATTTGTGGTTCATGTTAATGTTGGTAACTGTAAAAACTAAAGTTAGCTGAATGTTTGCTCAGTTTGCATGAAACATGGCAAGATGATAGACAAGGATTTGCATATGTTGTGTAGCTTACTGCAGCATATCCTAGCACCACTGCTTCCTCAAATGTGCCCAATACAATCTGAACCCAGAGTAATTACAGCTGGTCATAGAATTAATCAAAGTACATTTTTGAGATGTGTTAATTTTTCAAATTGAAATTTGAAGAGGGGGTATAAAAAAGGTTGTGACACGTACAGTACTGCCCAAAAGGCAGAGACCACCGGTCAAAACAGCCATTAAAAACAACATATTCATTTTTCGGCAACAAGTCTAAAAGCAGTCTAAAAGTACACAGAAGCCTCAACAACTAAATATAATGTCACATCTTTCAATGGTTAGTGTGTCCATCCTTCGCTTTTGTTACAGCTCAGTTCTTACCTGTGTTCATTTTTTGAACCTCAGTTTCGGGAACTTCACACATACTCCTTTTCCCCTTCCTTACACAAGTATATTATGTCATATCTGATTTTCTTAGAAACATCTCCTTTTGCCATTTTAGAGCCACATTAGAAAGCAATGTGTAAAGTAGGTTTGGGTAGTTGCTTGTGTGAATGTTAGGGTCTCTTTGAAGGGGAATGTAATGTCAGTGAGGGCTTTAGGAACAGCTTTTGATGGGAGGCTCTTTGGTTTTAAGATTGGAAGGATAAAAGAGTGAGAGTAGAGGTAAAAGTAAAGAGTGGATAAATGAAATACTGATACTTAAATAATGAAATAATGATACTATATATTGTATTTAATTTTGGAAGCTTTTGTGTTATTTTCTGTTAAATATGCAGCACTTGACACCACTTCCTGTCAAAACAGCCACTAAAAAAAGTAATTAATTTTTCAGGAGATGTTTATGAGGAGATATAGATATAATCAACTTGCGTAAGGAAAGGGGAAGTCGAAAGAAAATAAATGAAACACAGGAGTTTCCAAAACTGGAGTTCAAAAAGTAACTAAAAGCTATAGACACCAGCTCCACTCTTGTCTCAGATCTGAAAAAATCCACTGGTCTATCCTTCTTCTGTGAGAAGACAGCTCAACAGTGTGGGTCTAAAAGAATGTGTAGCTGTTTAAGAAGCTGCTACTGAGAAAAGGAACTTAGCAAAAAAGAAGAAAATTTGCAAACCAAACGAAAGGAGCTTCCGGTGGTCATAAATAAATATTGATTGTTTTCTGATTTTTCTCGTGAAGCTAGAAAGAGAAATAATGTGTACTTAACTTTGGTTGTTGTGACTGGAAATTGAATAAACCAAAAGGTGATCTCTGATTAAAGCCAAAAAGGCTTAAATTACATCTAGCCTGCACTGTTCTATGAGGCTATTGTTGACTAAGTTTCTTTTAAATGACTTCAGCATTCAAACATTCATCCCAATGAATCTGATTTTACTTTTGCAATGGGTTTCTATTCATGTAAACTCCTTGTCCCTGTTTTTTTACAGAATCATCCATTCCGTCTCAACGATATATTCATGTACAGAAACAGCTGACCTGGAGAGCAGCTCAGCGATATTGCAGAGAGATATACACTGACCTGTCCAGTATCCGCAATGCAGAAGAAAACAACCAACTGAATTACACATTAGATGACACATGGGTCGGCCTGTTCAGTGATTCCTGGGCGTGGTCAGACCAGAGTACCTCTTCATTTCGCTACTGGGCAGATTCCGAACCAGGCCAGACTGACAAGTGCGTCTCAGTGGCTGTGAATGACTCTGCGAGATGGTATGATGAAGACTGCAGCCTGAAGCGCAATTTTGTCTGTCAGAACTGTGAGTGTTTACCTGCTGAGTGTGAAACATCAACTTGGTATTACAAATGTTTGTATAATTATAATATAATAAAATTGAGTATTGTATTAAACATGAAGCAATGAAAAAAAAACTAAATAGAAATACAACAAAACACTGCTTAAAATAAAAGCCTTTATAATAACATATAATAATGATAATAATAATTATAATAATAATAATAATAATGCTTATGTATGCACTACCCAAGATGAAAACTTCCCCAGTTACATTGAAAGAGGAGAATTTTGGCAAAACACATCTGCCATTTAGTAGGCATTGGAAAGTTATTCACAGTATGTATATTGTGTGCCTGCACAAGAAAAGCTAACCTACTTAGAAAGAAAACATGGATTATTAGGTGTTATTACAACAGCATATTCTCCTAACAAAAAGGGTTCTTTAGAATAAACCATAGATTAACCACTTTCGCTTACCTGAAGACCATTTCAGTGGATTACATTTTTGTAAAGGATTTGTATGAGTGTTGGAAGTTAGCTGATGAATTCAAAAGAAATTAATAGCTAATGCTAATGTTACTGCTAGAAAGCCGAATATTATGTCTTATTATGTCTTTATTATTATTACTGATACAGTGAATCTATAACATTGTGAATATATATACATACACACACACACACACACACACACACACACACACACACACACACACATATATATATGTGTATGTGTGTGTCCAAAAGTCTGAGACCACATTGAAAATCTGATTTTTTGTTCATTTACCTGGGAATAATACTATATTAGGCTACAATGTTCCTTTAAGAGTGTACTGTAGAAATATTGTTTGGATTTCATGCACTAAAAATGTAAGCTAATTTTATGTAATGAAGTAACTCTCTCTGAACTTCTATCTGAAAATCCTTGTACTGTAGAGCCTGGCGAACTGGAACCTAGTAGACCACATGGCTAATAAATTTGTAGTCATTATTTAGTTTAGCAGATCTACTCTTGAAAAGGGCCCAGGGTTCCAATACATTCATTTGTTGATGTGAACTAGTACTGTTGTAACAGTATGGATTTAGAACCATTAACATTGTAGTATATACAGTATAATGTACTGCAGTTGAAGGAATATGGTTGTAATTGAATCCACTTGGACGTACCCTTTTAATACTCACATAATTAAATCTGAAGTTGTCCTATGGAGATGATATAAAAGTTAGATTGAGATTATCTGTTCATTTGACAACTTGTGTGCGTAATCATTCTGTTGTCATCTACTGTGTATTGTGAGTTAATGTATAAGCGAAGATACATTCTTTTACAAACACGCTTAGACAATAAAGCCTGATTCTGATTCTCTTAATTTTCTCTTTTAATCAATTTAAAACTGAAAGTGTATGCACATAATCAAAAATATTCTTTCTTTTCAGATGTGAAAATACAGATATTGAGAGTGAAGGTGAGCTCTAATGGAAAGAAGGACCTCAGCGAGCCAGAAATAAATGCAGCTATTTTGAAGCAGGTCAGTCTGACTTCTGATGGCCGGATCCTACAAGAACAGTATCTGATCTCAAAACTGTACATAAAAAAAAGAAAATTACCAGTGGCTGCAATCTTAGTGATTGATCATGTTATCCAGACGATCACTTGCGTGTAAAAATCAAGAAGCTACTGTAACAGTACATACACGCTATCTATTGTATTGAGGCAGCCTCTAATGTAGAAGCGTCATATATATTTGTATGAGCTGTGGTGTGAGTACACTTTTGTTTGCATTTTAAGATTGAAGAGAAGCTGAAGGAGAAGGGGATCAATGGTATCATCAAAGTCAGCTGGAAAGAGATGGATGGAAGAGTGTTTTGTCCTGAGAAGAAGATGAAGAAGTAGTGATGAGTTGTAGGTTGTAGCCTTAGCAAGAAGGCTCAGCTCACACTGAACTTCAATAATTACGTGAATGAGAAAAGTCATAGCCCAAAGTACTCAACTCTTTTAACAGTTTAAATACACAGACAGTAACAAGGACAATTATTGTTTACTAATAAGGCACAGTGATCTAATAACATTGTGAGTATATATATAAGGTTCTATCTGCGTTCTAAGCAGTTCTGAGATATTCAGATTCAAAGATTTTGCATTCCAAATAGCAAAACTGATAAGTGGATGAAGTGTTTTTCATACCTGAAAATGACACACCCTAAATTTATTGGACATACTTTATTCAGATGGTCACCTATAGATGATCTATAGATGAGGCTTTCCAAATAAATATCTAAACCCTATCAAAGTTTAAGTTCCCTTTAGATTAGACATCAACCAGCTACTGTAATAAACTAAAAGTGTAGCAAGTCAGTCTAAAGGCAGTATGAGGTTTTGTTTTGTATCAGAAATGTTGACTCTAATACACCAAAATGTATTATTTGGGAGAAAGAAGAAAAAAGAAAGATGGACAAACAAATGAAATGAATGTTTATGGTTTATTTAAGACCCCATCAATTCAAATATACGCTATTTAATTATCTTCAGGGCTTATTATTTATAAAATTTAAGACAATAAGACTTTTTAAAGAAATACAAGAAGACAGACAGTGTTTCAGCAGCATGTTTTCAAGTTTCATAAACTTTTCCCACAGTCACTGAGCAGTGCAGCAACATGACAAAGAAGCAGAACCTGATTAGCCCTCTTTTGTGTTGAAAGTGCTGATTGGCTCACAGATAGACCCTTATGGAACTAAGTTAGAGTTTGATTTTGGAACTTTTTTTTTCCAAAGAATCCAAAAATGTAAACATCTTCAAAAAAACACCTGATGTAATATTAAGAAGTTGTCACAGAATAAGAATGTTTCACTAACTGAATTTTGATAGTTTGATAGTAACTCAATTTATTTATTTATTTTTTTCTTTTAAATCTGGAGATAAACAACAGAAAAAAGAAATTATGCACCACTATCCAAACTGAAGCAAATTGGTGAAATTGTACAAAAAGGTCACATTTTTAGTCTTATCTCTTCCATCGAACCACGTGTTCAGATGAACACTGAGGTGGATTTGATTTGATATACTGATCAGTGACTTTTGCTGAAACTTAAGGAGTCCATGCCAGCTTGAGTGCACATTGTCATTAAAGGAAAAGGTGAACATATTAAAATCTGATGGTTATGAGCAAGTTGAAAGAGTAGTTACTTTTTTAACACATTCATAATCATCAGATTGTAGTTACTAAGTTTAGTGAAGGACATTCCTTCTGAGGATGTATCTAAATTATTTACTATTATCATCATATCTTCATGAGTATAATGTTGATTTTGCATTTGAGACCTAAACATTGAGCTAAACCTTTTTTTTTTTGAGTCTGTGCATGTGACACTAATACATAAAGACATATGGTCTGAAAAACTCCAGCAAAATCCAACACAATGCCTCTGAATTTTAAAATGACTATTTCAGGCTTTATAGGGTGACTCACAGCAGTGCACACATCATATTTTATCATACTTTTTTTTTTACTGACTCAATGATGCTAATTTCAATTTTAATTAAAAAAAATCATACATAGCGCAGCTGCAATGTGAACACTTAAAATGTAGTTTTAGATTGTTTTCAATATCTAGAGGTGTGATATGTATATGATCATTAATTGCAGTTTACAGAGTAAAAGTGGATTATAATAAAATGAAGTACTACTTATGTTTCAGTTGTGTTTTATTCAGCATTGTAACAGTGTCTACACTGAATTAACTTAATCAGATTTAGCCTTTAGCCTTTTACATCCTAATGAATACATTCATGCAGAATGATCAGTGGTTCTTCTTTGAGATATGTGCTTATTCTACTTAGTCTCAAACAAGAACATATGGTATTCCAAGTAGTGTGGGTGCAGAAAACTCTAGATTCTGAGAGAAATCATGTATCACCACCCCTGGTGGTGATTCATGATCATAACACCCATTATTTTTACTTGATCATTTGTTGATTCCACATGCATGTATGTGTGACGGACAAAGCTGTTTAAAAGCCACAGCAATAAACTACATTGAAATGCTTAATAATTCAAAACTATAACATTCAATTTGCTGGGCTTTAAGCTTGCAAAATACTCCATTTTGTTACACATTACTGCTGATACAACTTAATCACTTTCCTCTGCTAGCTGGCTAGTTAGCATGCTAAAGTCTTTACTCATATAATATGTATGCTACACTCAAACTTCTCAAAGTTTGCATGGCTGGCCGATTAGCTCAGAATGGCCGACCTGCTAAGAATGGGTACTTGCCATTTGAATAATCAGCTCCTCCTTGTTCTGTCCTCTCTTTCTGTCTCGAGTGACCACTTATGTAACAAAGTATGATGCACATTCGAATGGTGAGTCCAAGTGAGTGAGGGCAAGTTCGAGAACAATTTGAAATGGAAAAAACACTAGATTTATTATTTTTTTTCACAATAGCATTTTCATTGCTTTTGGTATGTACTAGCAACTTAGATTACCAATAAGCCAAACAACCCCTTTTAGAGAAGTATCAGCTATTGCTTTATATGACCCAGGAAGGACTTGAACCCACAATCCCCAGCTCTGGAGGCTGATGCCTTATCCATTAGGCCACTGGGCTTGAATTCCCCCTGTCTTAAGGTTTTGGTTTAAAGGCTAACTTAAGTGACAGCTATGCTGAATCACACAAGACGCAAGGTACCTAATAAAGTGGCCAGTGAATGCATACACAAAATTTACATGTACATGTGCTGTTGTGACAAAAGGAAACAACATGCCCACCATATTATCAGCAAAGTAAAACAAACAATAATATTACTGAATTGCATTTTAGAACATTCTTATGAACATCCTAGTTTTTGTTTTAAGAACCTTAAGAAAGCTTTCGTGAATCCGGCCCCAGGGGTTGTCATATCTACAATGCAAATACAGACATTTTATTTCCAATCCAACACCAGTGAACATATATGTATTTCCTAATGTTGATCATAGTCAAACAGTGGTAAATAAAAAAAAAATGCATTTGGGGACTATTTTGCCTTATAGCACCCTGCTTGTATTTTCACCATGAATAGATATTTAAAAAAAATAAGATTTTAGGCCAAAACTTTGTCAAAACTATAATAAAACATTATCAACCACAAGATTAGACCAAGCCCAAGGTATGGGCTGACAAAAGGCATAAAGGACATACAGCTCCTTCTTACAAAGGTTTTAACCAAAAATTATAAGTTTACAGCATTTTTATAATGAGGACTATACATACATTATTTTCAGGAACAAAGCTTAATTTGTCTACTTACAGTTTTGTCATGTGCATAACAGCAGTGACAGGTATGCTGACAACATATTAGATCCCCTACTTATTAATCATGTTCAACATTCTTTCGTACCTACTGAAATTAGGTGGGACAACCTTCAGCAGACTGGAGCTTAGAGTCTTATTTACATTTAAGTGGATGTTAAAAGTATGAATTATTTTCATTATAACATCTTTGTCCTTTTGACATGTAGCAAGCTAAGCTGCAAAAAAGCCAAACCTGCCTTTTAAAGAAAGCAGTGAATGTTTGTTAACAACCCACAGGGGACTTAAACCCACAAATCCCCAGCTCCAGAAGCTAATGCTTTAGCCATTAGGCCACTGTATGGAGCTAGGGCAAAGCCTTAGCACAAGCTGGAGCATTTAATGTAGTGGTACCCACACTTTATATCATTTTGAAGAGCGAAACTCTCACACATACACATAACACTGACTTTTAAACTAATAAGAAATTGACATGCACATTTTTTTGTCAAAATAGCTACATTTAGAGAGGGTTTTATATTTAATAAGTTATATTTATTTTGTATTTCTGTGAAAGGTCAAGCTGTTAAACATATCAAGTGTAGTTTTTTCATCTTACTTCATCCTACCTTGCAGCTACAGCAAGCATCCATTACTGAGTCACCCCTGACTTTATTGTGACTGTATTGCTTATTAGTTACATTTACACTGTCTCGAATACTTTGATTTTACAGATGAAGCTCAATGTAACAACTCATGTTTTCTGGTACAACAGAGATTTTGCTGACAAAATTCTTTAGTGTAGCTTTACTCATGCTGCAGTTGATAATGACGTTAACTGCTAAAACAGCTGACACCTAAACCAATGAACTTCTATTACCCATATAAACCCCTGACCATGGATTTTTTTTTGTCATTTTCACTGGCAAGTGACCCATGCTGAATTTGGTTACCCTGTTTTAAATCAATACAATAAGTGCATTTTAAACATAATAATTTAGCGCATTATAAAAAAGTTAAATACAGTATTTTTCTTGGTTGACCACATTTTGGTTTTCAAAAAGAAAACACTGGTTGTAAAAAGGCAGCATGGGGTGGTTTGTTGAATGCAAATGCCAATATGAAAGCAAAACGAAATCCTGGACATTTTGAAAACACAGCCAGGCATGTTTATTAGGTCCCAAAAAGAGAATGTATGGTAAAGAGCTTTTTAGATGCAAAGCAACTCTGGATCTGACTTGTAATTCACTCACTCGTGACCAATTTACACCAGATGTGTTTTTGATGCATTTTTTAGTCGTACGTCTAATGGAACAAGTATACTTCTATTCTAATCCGAATTTAGAATGGAATTCTAACCTGAAGTGTTTATGAGCTGCTGACATGCAGTGTCAGTCATGCATGCTCTCACTCACTGACTTACTTATGTTTAGCAGGCTGAGGATTCTCCACAAGTGCTATTAGCACTAGCTTTTAGTGCATCGTAATATGTCATTTGGTGTATATCATCATCACATGATTGAATTTATTGACATCTAAATAAATTGCTTGATTAAACCATGCTTGCTGTCTATTATGTTTAAAAAATAATGATTTGTGAGTAACAGTGGTAGACTCTTGAAGCTAAAGACCAAGGGTCAGGATTAAGCCCAGTCCAGGACTACACAGCATTTTGATTGGAGATTCTTAATTGAAAGAAAAATAGTAGTCCAGGACTAGACTTAATCCCTGTCTGGGAAATTGATCCCATGTGTACATTTAGTAAAATCATTTACAGTTACCTCACACTGTACCCTTTACAATTACCCAGTGAACTCTTACAGTCTTCTGAGGTAGCATAAACACAATCAGAACACACTTCACATTTTTTTAGAACAACTGACTCAACGCCCTTTATTATTGGGCGAAGCAAGTCATTTGCCTCCTGCACCCAAAAAGCAGTCAGACCAGTGCAGCATTGTGGCTAACTGTGTTTTTAAAGAAAGGTACTTTAATGTATTTTATAAATCATTAGCAATATATCATGTGTTGGCTAAGAACAAGTCAAGGCTTCCTGTAATTTCCAGATAATGCTATGACAAACAAAGCTGTGAATCATTTTAAGGATGTTTTGCAACCATCAAACATGGTCTATATTTTATGCATGCAATTTTTTTATCTATCCCTGATTTAAATAAAATGTAAAAAAACATGCTTTATATACAAACCTAGTTCTTAAAAAAATGGGACAGTATGTGAAATGCTAATAAAAGCAAAAAGCAGTGATTAGTAAATTTTGTTTGACCCGTATTCAATTAAAAACAGTACAAAAACACAATATTTGATGTTTCACCTGATTAACTTTGTTGGGTTTTTTGTAAACATATGTTCATTCCAAATATGATGCCTGCAACTACTTCCAAAAACAGTTGAGACAGGAGCATGTTTACAGCTGTGATACATCACTGAAGACTGAAGACTCCAATTGATCCAGTTTTAAAAGTTGGATTTTTTGATGTTCTGTCGTTATACAAGTCAACGGCTGTGCAACTGTTTGGGGCCTTTGTTATCATATTTTGCACTTCATACTGTGCCACACGTTTTTGAATAGAAGACAGGAAGGCCAGTCTAGCATTCTGTACTCTCTGATCATGCAGCCATTCTGTTGTAACACGTGCAGGATGTGACTCGGTGTTCTCATCCTGAAATAAGCATGGACGTCCCTGAAAAAGACGACGTCTAAAAGGCAGCACATGTTGCTACAAAATGTGTTTACATCTTTCAGCATTATTGGTGTTTTGACAGATATGCAAGTTGTCCTTACAATGGGCATTATTATACCCCATACTATGACGCACCCTAGCTTTACACTGATAACAACCCAGATAGTCCTTCTTTACCCCACAGAACACATCTATTTTTTCCATAAACAATCTGAAAGATTGTCTCATCAGCCCACATGTTTCTGCTGTGCACCAGTCCATTTCAGATGAGCACATGCTCAAAGAACTCAGCAGCAGTTTTGGCATATGGCTACCACTGTGCATAGTACAGTCCTACATTTTTTGTGGACACAGTGACAAATAGTGATTATTCACAAATGATTTGTCAAAGTATTCCTGAGCCCATGTGAAGATGTCCATCACAGAAACATGCATGATCAAAGCTCAGTTAATGGCCTTGCTTTTAACAAGATTTTTCAGGATTCCCTGAATCTTTTGATAATGTTATGCACTGGAGAGGGGGAAAAATCTAAAATCCTTGCAAACGTTTGTTGAGGAATGTTCTGCTCTTAAATAGTTGGACTACGCGCTGTGCTGCATTTTTGGCAAGTGGGAGAGGCTTGACCCATCCTTGACCATAAAGGACTAGGCCTTTCCTGGATGCTCCTTTTCTATACCAGCATAATTACATCACAAAAATGTTGTCTGAAC